TTATTATTACGAGCAATTTTGGTTTATAAAATAACGAAAAAGAAGAATCAAGCCATGTCATTGTTGTTGATTGTTGTTTTCCCCATTCGTTTCAATAATAATAATAATAAGGCATTTTTTTGCGTGCATTTGAAAACTTTAAAAATCTTTGCAAACAAAAGATGTGTTAAAGATTCAGTGATTGAAGGAGAGAGAGAGAGAGAGAGAGAGAGAGAGAGAGAGAGAGAATTTGAATTTTGACTAGATGTTTGCTATTATTATTATTATTATATTCATTTCAAATTTTTTTTCAAAGATGCATCCCCAAAGAAAAATTGATGTAGCAATTATAATCATTCATGCAAATCATCATTCGATATTTATTATGAACGAATGATGTTTATGAACAGAGAAAATAGCAACAACAAGAATAACCCCGATGGTAGATATATCAATCGGATGATGAATAGAAGAAACATCAACATCAATTTGCCTTTTTTTTCTTTTACTTTTGCTACTGTATCAGTCTTGTTCATTGATGATGATGATTTGTTCGTCGTTATTATCATCATTTTAATTTTCTATGCATCTTTTTTTTTGTTTGCCAAACACAACCAACATCCAAGCATCCAAACATCCAAACATCCAAACATGTTCGATAATGATTTTCAGGCAAATCATATAACCAGTAAAACAAAAAAAGTTTGAAATAAAAGGAAACCACAAAAAAATTATAATTTACGATCTTTTGTCCTGTCCGTTTGTTTGTGTGATGATGTTTTCTGTTGCTGTATGGATGTATCGATAGTGTGTGTGTTTGAGAAAAGAGGATAAAATTTTATTACTAATCATATTTTTTTTCCATTCCGTTTGTGTTGGATGTTTTGTTGAATGTATCGAAAATTTTCGCTACTAATATTTTTTTTTTAAATTTTCTGTTAAAAAAAACATCTTTTTTTGGCCATTGTTTTTTTTCTATTAATTATTAGCATCATCGAGAGGGGGAAAACAAAATTGATAACAAAATTTGTTTCCATCCAAATGATGATGGTTAGAATTTTTCGTTTTGTTCTGTGTTCGACGTCCTTGAATTCCGATACATTTTTTTTTTGTTTTTGTTTTTGCTACAAGCTTGGGCGTTCCATTTTTTTTTCAAAATGAAAATTGTCTTTTTTTTCTATCCTAGAGACCAAATCAAACATATTTTCAACTTTTTTTTTTGAAATAAATTCACATAAATTATATGTGTGAACACATGTCATGTTTTACAGAAAAAAAACTTGATGAAATTCATGCAAATAACATTGAACAAATGAATGATTTTTGCATATTCTCTCGTTGTTGTTGTTGTTGTTGTTCAAATAGAAATCCTATTTTTTTATCCATAAAAAATACCATGGATAATTTTATTTTGTTTGACTATAGTCAAAATTGACTTAACTGACTGACTGACAATTTCCATAGATTTACCTAATTTCAAATTTTGATGAAAAAAACCATTTGGAAAATAATCTAATCATCGATTGGCTACATCTCGTTGGATTCAATTTTTGTAGCCAATTTTTTTTCACAAAAGCAACAAATATTTTTTTTTTTTTTTTTTTAAGTAGGCATGTCATTTTTATGTTATTATCTAAAATCTATCATTGAAAAAAATCGTTTTTTTGTTGTTTGAAGAACTCTGCCCATTTGAAGGCGTAACAATCGAAAAACAAACCAAAACAGCGAATATATTGTTGTTGTTGTAGCCATTTTGATGTTCATAATATATAGAGCGGGAGAGAGAGAGAGAAAGATATTTTTCTACAGAATAGACAAACCCCCTAAATATGTTTCGTTTTTTTTCTTATTCTCAGTACAAATTTTCAAATTTGAAAATTTGAAAATAGATTTTTCAATCTTATCATTTGTATCGAAACAAAAATTTTGTTAATATTTTTTTGAAATGATCCGTTTGTTTGAATTTCCCTGATGTCGATATATTCTGTCGAAATCCAATTTCAGTACGTATCATTTTTTTTCTTTTCTTTTTTGACTTTGGCTTTTTTGTTTTTCTTATTTAACATTTGTCGTTCATTCATCTTTATGTAAATGATGATAATGATACAATATTGATATCATCATCAATTGTGGCTTATCATATCATATATATTTTCTTTTGATATGATAAAAATTTTGTGTTTTTTTCCATCATTTACAGAACGTGAGATTTGAATGTATCCAATGATGATGACAATTGACACTTTGTATCCAACTTTATAAGAAGAAACAAAAAAATGTAGCAAAACTTATTGATTTCTCGATACATTTTCATACATCAACCCTAGAGAAACAAAAAAAAAAACATTTTCTCATCTTTTTGTGTGTTTAAATCAATTTTTTTTTCGAGAAAAAAGGCAAGTTTATATCCATAATAATCATTTATTTTTTCTTCCAACCATAATCATCATACAAGACCAGACTAAGGTTATGACCTGATTTTTTTTTCTGTCCTTAAACACACTGTATGTCTGTGTTTACATTAAACGTAAAAAAAAAGAAAGAAGAATAGTTTCAAAGGGGTTAACCTGGTCTGTCTGTGCACTAAATCTGTAAATTTGCTACAATTTTTACCATCCTTGACGACAGTGATGATGATGATGATGATCATTATTATTTGATCAATGATAAATATGTACAAATAATCAAAAAGAATTATCACCAAGACGGTTATGATTATCAATCTCCAGACAGGTCTTCTTTTTTTCTCAAAAAAAAAAAATTGATACATCTTTTTTTCTGACTATGATCGTTGTTGATATAATCTGATGGTCTGCTTAATGATGATGATGATGATAGAAAAAAAATGAACTTAAAAAAAAATATCAAAGAGTTATCAGTAAGGCGCAGATAATGGCCGACGCATTGATGATGTTTTTCAGAAATTATATTTTTGAACTTTATAATGTCTTTGCAATGATAATTATCAATATGAAATGATTCTGATATACTTGATGTTGTTGTTGATGATGATGGCGATAATTCTGATATGTTGATGGCGATGATGTCAATGAATCTTGTCAATCAATTTAAATATTTTTTATTTCAACTCTTTTTTTTGGCAATTGAAAAAAAATATGAATACTTTTTTCTTCTTGGGATAAACACAATGTATCCAAAACAAACGAACAAAATTGATAACTAGTTTTATTTTTTCTTCTTTCAAAAAAAAATCAAATTTCAAAAAAAAAAATCAAATTGCTTCAGGCTTTTCATAATCATTATCATTTTGGCTAATGGTGGTTTTTTTTCGTTGGTTATTTAGAAGAAGAGTGTATCAAATGCACAAATGTATCAATCACTGATATGATCGCACATCGGTGCTTGATGTTTTTTTTTTTGGCGACATTTTTTTTAACACTGTGTGATGTGTGTACAATGTTTTTTTGTCGTTGCTAATGTTCGACAACCTTATTAGGAAAAAAAAAGAGTTAATTTATTTGAATCATTTCGGATGGATGAATTCGGTTTTTGATCTTGTTGTAAATACCTGTTTTTTTCTGTGCGAATTTTTCAATAATTTTAACCCTTTCATCACACAGTATTTTTCATTTTATTTTTTTTGTATCTTTTTTAGATTCTAGATCAGTGAAATACTGATCAAGATTTTTTGATAGATATATCATCCAAACTCGAAACGATTTCAGTGTTTTTTCTTTTCTTCTGCACCTTAAAAAAACGAATAATCATCATCATTTTCAAATCATCACAATGGACATAAACATTATTCAACAACAACAACAACAACAACATAAAGATCATCATCATCGTTCAAGACAACCAAAATGTGCAAGATGTCGTAATCATGGTGTTGTTTCTAAATTAAAAGGACATAAACGTTATTGTCGTTATAAGGTATGTGTTATATTTAGATTTGTTTATGTTTTTTTGAAACAAGCAAAAAATCAATATGATTGATTGATTGATTGATTGATTGATAGAATTGTAATTGTACAAAATGTAAATTGATTGCCGAAAGACAACGTATTATGGCTGCACAGGTATGAAATTTTTTTTTGTTTCAAAATTCTTTTGTATCATTATTAAAACAATAATGATGAAAATGTATCCATTTTTTTGGATACAATTTAAAAAAATAATATACAATGGCTTCGTTACAATATCCATTGATATTAATTTGATACTTTTTTTTCTCTCTAATTTTATCTGCAAATTTTTCATCTTTGGATCCAAAAAACAATTAAAAATCCATTCAAAACAATTATAAAAAAAATAAAGGTCGCCTTAAGAAGGCAACAACAAACACAAGAAGAACGATTACGTTCACCATCATACAATCCTGGTGAACTTGAAGGTTTGAAAAAACAATTGTAATTCTGTCATTATACCTGTCATTTCCCTCTCTTCCTAAATGTATCTTTTTTTCCAAATGAATCATCAATAATGGTAAATGTTTTTTGTGGATTTTCCAAACAAAAAAAAAACATTTATCATATTGATGATTTCTTTTGTATGTAGCAAATATTTTTGTATCAATTTTGATGATTTTTTTTGTGTGTTAAAAAATTTGTATCCAAAATATTTTGTATCCAAAAAAACACAGAACCTGATGAATTGGATCTCAATGCAGTGTTAAATTTACGACAACAACAACAACAACAACAAAATCGATTACGTGAATCAAGTATCGATAACAATAATGGAATCAATCTGATTACGACAGCAACCGCAACAACAACCGCAAATACCGCAACACCATCATCATCATCATTATTATTATTACCGAATTATACGGATCGAACTGATATCGATATAATACGACGATCAACAATATTATCACCGCCAATAATAAATCATTCATCACAATCATCATCATCATCCTCATCATCATCCACATCATCATCATCATCTAGTTCATATAAGAATTCAAATAATAATAATAATCAAATAACATCAATACGATCATTATCATCAACAACAACGAAAACAAATCAAAATGATTCATTATTTAATGAATCAAAAAATCATGAAATAATTATTAATGATCATCATCATCATAATCATAATAATAATCTTTGTCCATCATCGAATCGATCACCAATTCAATTGAATCATCAAAATAATAATAATAACCATGATCGAACATTATTATTATCATCACCAACATCGATCGAAATGAATTCATCAACAATAAAACACAATTCATCGATTTGTAATGATCAACAACAACAACCGCAACAATCGCAATCGCAACAACAACAACAAAATTATAATTATAATACATTTGCCGGTTTTATACAAACACATTCGGATTTATTAAAAATTGTAATGAATCAAATGCAAATTGTAAAATCATTATTAAAAATTTATATTAATGATAAATCGACAAAAGGTTTGTTTTTTTTTTGTTTTCGTTTGTATTTTATATTTGATTAAAAATTTGATTTTTCTTCTCGGAATATTCTGATTTTACAAAAATCAGCAGATAATCAACAGTATTCATCATCATCATCAACAACAACAGCATCGACATCATCATTAAATTTTTATCTACAAACATATTTAGATCAATTGGAACAAACTAAATGGCGTTTAGAACGTATGGTACCGATACAAACAAATCAATCATTATCATCATCAACAATTTTCAAACCAAATAATCAAACATTATCAAATGATAATTTAAATCCTTTATTATCGAATTTTGATCTCATAACATTACAACAACAACAACAACATCATCATCAACATTTATTATCACAATCATATCATAATCAAGAATTATTTAAAAATCAATTTCATTTAAATAATCATCATCATCGTAATCATCATCATCAGAATAATAATCATTTAGATTTGAATTTGGATCAAAGTATTCGCAATAGTAGTAATAGTAGTAATGGATCATCACCTGAAATTGATTATATTGCAACAACATCTCCAGATGAATTAGGACAACAACAAACGCAGCAACTTTTGTCACCACCAACATCAACATCATCGGCAGCAATGAAAATAATGGCAGCTGCTTGTCATCATTTATTTGCTACAACAAATGATCCACAATCACAATCGATACAAGCTGCACAACAATTTCAATATGCAAGAAATTTATTTTCAAATGTTGATATTTTTAATCGAAATCGTTCAAGCATAATATCACAATCATCATCAACATTGTTGCCACAATTGATGAATAAAAATCCAATGACGACAGCAGCATCAACGTCATCATCATCATCATCATCAGCATTTACAGTGGATAATCTTCTTAAAACGGTAGCGCAAGTTAATGGAACATTTAATAATAATGGTTCGAAATAGTCTCGATATAGTGAAAAATAGAAATATTTTCTAATGGTGCCATGATTACAACAAAATAAATTGGTTACATTGGACACCCAAAAAGCAACAAAAATCCAAAAATTCATTCATTCCAATTTTTCCTCATAAGATTTGCTTTATGTTATTTCTTGACAATCATTGAAAATTTCAATGTAAAAAAAAGATATGCCAAACACACATTTACTATATTACAAGTGTAATAATTATCAGAAAAGAGAGAATTCTTCATTAGTTTATTCAACATTTTGAAAAAAATGCAATTTTTTTCTTGTTTGTTTGGTTTGACAATTTTTTTCCAATAATAAATTTTAAAATGAATTTGATGAATAAAAAAAAACAGAAAAAAATGACTTTTTTCTCCCCTTCTCCATGTAGATTCTATAGAATGGTTCCGGTATTGGATCGAAAACAAAAAAAAAATTTACGACCGAAAACAAAACAAAAAAATTTGAAAGTTTTTTTCCAATGTTCATTAATGTCAGCCAGCGTTGCAGTTAAGCCTGAATAATCCATTAAAATTTTGCTTTGTTTTTGTCTTTTCAAAGGAGAAATTCTCTGAAAAGTTTCGTGAATCGTTGCCATAAAAAATGTTTGAAAAACAAAATCCGACACACCTTTGATTCCTTTGGTTTTTTTTTGGAAATGATTTTTGAAAAATTATGAAATTTTTTCTTCGATACTAGATGGTGCTCGTGATTACCGTTTGGTGTATATGTCAGCTGTAATGTCATTGGGTGTGTGTGAGAGAAAGAGAGAAATATGAGTTTGTTTTGATCGCAACGATAGATTTACGTTCGCTTCGTTTTCATCAAATTTCGATTTGTTGTTGAAGATTATTGAATCCTCGCATCCAAAATTGGTAACATACTTGATTCACCACCACAAAATATGGATAAACATTTATTTAATCTAAAATTTGCGGCCAAAGAATTGGAACGTCATTCGAAACGTGCTGAAAAACAAGAACGTGTACAAAAATTAAAATGTAAAAAAGCAATACAAAATGGTAATACGGAAGGTGCAAGAATTTATGCTGAAAATGCTATACGGGAAAAAAATCAAGCTTTGAATTTTTTACGAATGGCAAGCCGTGTTGATGCTGTAGCTAGCCGTGTACAAACAGCAGTAGCAACCAAATCAATCGCACAATCAATTGGCGGTGTAACCAAAGCTATGGATTCGGCAATGAAATCAATGAATTTGGAAAAAATTTCACAAATAATGGATAAATTTGAAAAACAATTTGAAGATTTAGATGTACAAACAAATACAATGGAAAGTACTATTAGTAATGCAATGGGTACAATGTCACCTGAAGCACAAACCGATAATCTTATGAAACAGATTGCCGATGAAGCTGGTTTAGAATTGAATTTAGAATTACCAAGTGTAGCAACATCAACATTATCCTCTACAAAAGAAACAACAAAAGAAGATGAATTATCTAAACGTTTGGCTGCCTTACGATCGATGTGATGAAATTACAAAAAAAAATTAGCGAAATATTTTTGGAATTTCAAACCAACCGACTAACCTAACCTAACCAACCAAACACTATTTGAGCTGATTTCCTTTTGTTATTCCCCCTTCCCAATAAGTTGATAAATTGTTTTTATTGTTATACAATTTTACCACTAAACTAATATTTGATTAATGTCATAATCATTTGAATATATGCTGTGTTTTCGCGATTGAATCCATCCATTTCCTGGTTTCTGGTCTTCTTTCTTATCCTAACCAAAATAAATAAAAAGTTTTTTTTCAAATTTCTAAAATATAAAATGTTTTTTTTTAATTTTTTTTTCTTGTTCTTCGTATGAATTTGTTTATGATGAAAGTGTAGCATATTGATGATGATAATGTGGATTATTATTTTGTTGGTCGAGAATTGATTGTTATTGGAATTAATTTTTTCATAATAATCATTTCATTATTTGAATTACTTCTAACTGATCGTTGTCCAGGTCCAAATTGTTGTCGTTGTCTTTCACGTAATTGTATTGCATATGTAAAATATTGATTAACTAATTTACGTGTACAACAACGTAATACAGGTTTAATCATTGAACATGTTGTTCGTGGATATAGTTTACAACCAAAACCACCATTTGATGGTATAAAAACAGTTGCATTTACATTAACCATTGGTTCATCATCATCTTCAGTTGTAATACTTAAACAACATAATCTTGCAGCTAATAATCGTTCAGTTGACCATTCAGTACAATTTGTTTGTTGACAAACTTCTGATAATTTTGAACCATTTTTAAATTTTGGTGGTTGTGATAATGTTGATCGTAATTCACCATTTCCAGTTTTTGTTGTTACATTTTTCGATTTGATTGTTGAATCATCAATCGATATATTTTGTTGTGATTTTTGTAAACCATATGTTTCTAATGTTCGATTCAATGTATCAATTAGATTGGTTGTTATATTTGGCATTGCTGTTGTACTACTACTATCACCACTTGATGATTCAATTTCTGGTTCAAAATTCATTGTATAACGATTGTAAAAAATTTTCAATACTTGACCCATCTGTGAAAATACATTTAATTCGTTTAATTCATTTGTTGAAGTATCCGTTTGATTATTTTCGATCGAATCAACATTATCAACAACAGGTGTCAAAGTTGTTGTTGATGATGATGATGATATTTCAGTAACAGCCAATGTTTCATTTTGATTATCGGTAATGTTGTTTGGTGATAAATTTGGATTAACACATTTTTCCTTACAAGGTGAATCAGTATGAGCAGCCAATATTGTTGCCTGAAAAAATGGATCTTTACGATCGATAAAACTTAATGGAAATCTTATATAATATGCCAATAGATTACATCTATAGTTCAAACAAAAAACAAAAAAAGAATTTTCATTTCAATTTTAGGAAAAAAAAGTTTTGTTTTTTTCAAAAACAAACCTATCAAAAATATAAACATCACCACTATGACCATCAAGTAGATTACTTATAGGTGATGATGGTAATTCTTGATAAACTTCAAATGATACTTTTTTACGTATACGATTTACCCAAATAGGATTATATGAATCTTTTAAATTAATCAATATTAACCGAATATTATGAAATGATTTTTGTTCAACAAGATTATTATAAATATGTTCTAAATTATTAATCCATGCATCAGTATTGGCACGTTCATCATGTAAACTTGATAATGCTATTACAGTAACATGATGATGTTTATTATCATTATCATTTGTAATATTATCCTGATTTGAAAATAATGAACGAAAATATTTTGGATTCGGTAACGATTGTGATGTTGATGATGATGACGATGATGATGTTGTTGTTGTATTATTCAATTGTGTTTGTTCAGCTAAATGTGATGCAATATCATAAAAACGTAATCTTGGTGATTGATGACATAATTTAAATTTTGTTGCATTTATATTTATAATAAACAAATTCAATACTATAATTATTAAACTGTAAATGAATAGATTTTTAATTGTAAATTGATTAATTTGATGATGATTATTACGATGACAATGATGATGATGATGTTGTTGTTGGCGATGATGATGATAAAAATTATTATTATTGATAATGATGATATTGTTGTTTTGTTTGGCCATCATCATCATCATCATTGATTGATTGTCATTAGAATTCTTTTCTTTTCTTGTTGTTTTTATTCAATCAGAAAACAAAAATTTGATATGATTTAGTGATGCGCGATTGAGTGATGTCGAAGTATTTTCAGTATAAAATAAACATTTCAAATGTTGAAAAAACAGCCAAACAAAAAAGAATGATCATTTTTATTGAATTTCTTCTTTCTTCTTTCTTTTTTTGGTTGTTGTTGCAAAACGTAGAAAAAACAAACATCATAATTAATGATTGATGATCATTCAGATGAAGAAGAAGAAAAAGATGGTGATGATGATGAAGATGAAGATTACACGAATCTAATGAATCGATTAAAAATGGCTGAAATTCAATCAAAAATTCATATTTTTGAAAGGAATGTGTGTGCTTGTGCTTGGTGTGTGTGTGTTTTCTTTCGAAAGAAAGAAAACAAGACGATGCAACAGGTTTCAAATCAATTAATTCTTTTGGGCAAGAAACTGATGATGATCACGATGATTGGTTTGAATTTCTTTCTTTCCTGAATTAATAGCTTTTTTTGTTTGAATGTTTATTCAATGAAAAAAAAAACCAAAAATAGAAAAAAAAATTTTCAAAGATTTTTTTTTTATCAATGGAAATAAATAAATGAATAGAAGAATGTACACCCACCTTATATCAATATGTTGATATGTTTTGTTTTGTTTGTTTTTTTTCGGTTTTGGGATTTTACACAAATTTGCTAATCAATCGAATGATCGATAAAAAAAATTTTTGATTAGCTATAATTGGCAGTAGTGATGATGATCATCATCATCATGTGAATCAATATCGTGGTGATGATGATTTGAATGTTTTAGCGCGAGAGCAAGATTTGTAGAAAGAAGACTTATTTTAATATCGCAAAGATAAATATCGATCGTTTGATTGATTGATTGATCGGGAATGTGTATGTGTGATGATGATTGATCGATCGTTGATGATGATTCAAACTGTATTCAATTTTTCACAATCCCAAATGACCCTGATCATTTGGAATTAAGTGTTGTTGTTGTTTTGACAATCAATCGATTACGATTGTTTGACAATCTGCAATTCGATGTTCATTTTTATCTTCGAGATTTGTTATGCTTTCAATAATCGATTTCCATCGATTATTTCGTTGTTGTTGTTGTTGTTTTCGGCCGACAAACACAAAAAATATGTAATATTTGATCTGCTTACATGGCTTGTTTATTATATGACGATATTAATATGAAAATGTTGATGATAAAACAGAAAAAATCGTTTATTTTTTCATTGAAATCTGGGTAAAAAAGTGTCGATACAACCAATTCGATGATGACGATGACGACGATGATTATGATGATAATAAATTCATATAATGATTGCAATAATTGAATAATTAAAGATCATCATTCTTGGTCTATAGACCAATCTTTACTTCTACATTTTTCTTTTCGACAACATGCCATTCCCGCGAAATTGTTATTTGATTGATTGATTTGATTTGATTTGATAAAATTTTTGATTTGATAAATTTCAAGATCAATGTCGATCATCATCATCATATTTACACACATTCGAATCTTTTTTGGCTATTTCCATCCATCCTGTCAAGCGGTAGAGATAGATAATGTTCGAAATTGAAAATCAAGGTTATTTTTTTTTGAAATTTTTCAATCAAAATTTCTTTTTTTTCAATCAATCAATCAATTCAATTCATAATTTTGAGAATTTTTTTTAAATAATAATAATGATATGTTATGATATCATACAAATGTTTGTCTGTTTGTTTTAATATGTTTCGAATGTGAAAATGTTTTTGGAAAAAAAATTGTTGTTTTTGTTTTCGTCGTAAATCAAATGATCAACTAATATAAAAACAAATTTGCTTTTAAAAATAATAATGAAAAAAGATGCAATCATTTCACAGAATAATAATTTCCTAAAACATGAAATCATCATGTTGTATTCGTGAACGCATTCGTTGATGATGATGACCAGTAGAATTTGATCTTGATCTTCTACGTTGTTCATAATCTTTACGACGACTTTTTGTCGATGATGATGATGATGATGATGATCGTCGATAACGTCGGCTACGATTTTCATCCGGTGAATATTTTCGATGATAATCACGTGTTCTACTACTACTACTACCACTTCTTTTACTTCGTTTATCATGTTTTCTTTGATGTTCATCATCATCATCTTCATTATCATCATTATCAGATGGATTAGAATTTGAATATTTATTCGGTAAATTTGCAATAGATTTAATTTTTGGTTTTGTTTTCGCTGCAAATTCATTATTTGTTTCAGCAATTAATGCCGCTGCTGATGATGGTGCCGTTGAATATCGTTCTTTTTCACGTTCTCGATTAGGACTTTTATCTTTTGGTTTGGTTTTTTTCGATTTTAAACGTTTACGTCCATGACCAGTTAATGATGATGATGAATCCGAATCATCACTATTTTCCGATGATGATGTACTATCATCATTCGAATATTTACGATGTTTTGTTGATTTCTTTTTTAATCTAAATTTTTGGGAAAAAATTAAAGCAATTTTTTAAAAAACAAGATTTTCGAAAAAAAAATTTATACAAACTTTTTAGATTTTTTTCGCTTTTCCTTAAGACGTTTTAATTTTTTCGATTTCTTTTCACTATAATCATCGTCATCATCATCATCATCATCATCATCATCATTGAAACGTTTTGATTTATGTTTGGATTTATTCTTCTTTTTAAGCTTTTTACGAAGTTTTTTTGATTTTAATTTTGATTTTTTAAACGGATCAAACCTATTGCTATCACCAGTAGCAAATGGTTTTAAATTATCACCTTCATCCGAATCTAATGAACTTGTTGAACTAACATCCAAAACAATATCTTCAGTTGGATTTACACGAAAAAAATTACGACATTGATAGGCAAAATGTCCGGCTGCAAGAAATGCACCACAAATTATTAAACTTAAACAATCAAACATAATCAATGAATAATGGTGAACTTACGATATCCACATTTTGAACATGATGATCGCACTCTATTTGTATTCGTTGGATTCATATTGTTTAATTAATTGTTAAAAAAAATTTAATTTAATTTAAAAAAAATTTTTAAAAAATCGCCGATTTTTGCCATGGCCAAAACAATCATAATAATAATAATTCGGATATACAATCGATACAATCGATTATTTAGTATTCCATTCGAATCCATGGATTCGATTCTTCTTCACGAACAACAATGGATTTTCCAAATATATTTAGCTCTCTTTGTTTATTTTGAAACAAGATTTTTTTTTGTTTGAAAATTCAATTTCACATTTTGTTTTGAAAATTTTAATGTGGTGCTAATTAATAATCAACAGGTGTCACACGTATATAATCCGTTAATAATCCGATTATAATCAGGTATGATTGCAATCAGATAATGTCATTTTTTCAAAAAAACAAAGCAACAACAATTAAAAAATTGCCATAAAATAAAATGATTTCAGTATCTCTGAATCCGCAATCTAATTATAATAATGATGATTGAATTTTGGTATGTATATTTTGCAATCATCAATAATTATAATGATTTCAATTAATGATAAGGTATATTTTTTCTATATGATATCATCATTATCATTCCTTTCTTTAGAGAAAAACTAATCACATTCAGGATTCATTCAAATTAGGATTTCAACAACCGAAAATCATCCTATTGAAATCCAAATAATTGGCATGTGTATTTGTGTGTTGTTTAATTTGATAAAAATCTTTCGCCGATAATAAAAATCCTTTTCTTTGGATAAATTTTCCAGGATCGCGATAAAATAACGGTATGTACCAAAAAAATATGATTTTTTTTTTTTGCTCTTTATCGATCGATTTATGTAACGTTACTGTTAATGAGCGCACACATTATTTATAATTATAAATATGCAAACCCAAAAATATCCATGCATATGTTTGCATTTGCACACATTTTAGGCTCATTTTTTATTACAATATGCCTTTCTAATTTTATTTTATTTAAATGTTATCAATTTTTAAAATGCCTGGAAAAAATTAATCCTACAATAACATAGATAGGGTTCATAAATGTTCCAAATACACAAATATCACTGGATGACAACAGCAATATGCATTGATTATGATGATGATGAATTGATTCGAATGTCGTTACCACACACCACCCATTTGATATGAATGTCTGTCACACACATATCCATCATTGATCAATATTGAAATGAAATGAATTATCTACATTTGTGCCAAGAAGATATACATTTTTATTATTATTTCTTTGATTTGATGCATGTGTACGTGTGTGCCTGAAATATGGCCGAACAACAACCACTGTATATTAATTATAATCTTATCAATCAATGTGCCTAATCAGAAAAAGAGAAAAAATTGCTATGATGGTAATATTTGTATGTGTGTGCATGTAACGAAAAACAATGGAGGAAAGACAAATATTTTCTTTTTTAATACTGATTTTACTGATTTCAAGTTCCTTGAAATTCTAAAAATTTTTTAAATTTCATTACCGGTATGTGTTTATATAAAATGGAAATTTTCATGGAAAAATTTTTCATTATTAGTTGTAGTTTACATTTTTTTGTTTTCAATGAAAGATTTTCTTCAAATCAAATTAAACTTTAAACCTTTTGAATTAAATAACCCCGGACCACCATTATTATTTTTCTCTCCATTTGATGATCATTTTTTATTATTAAATATTATGTTCAATACAACTAAAGATAATTTATAATATCAATCAATTATCAATAATATTCATATTTATTTCATTGGTTAGACGATTTTTCTTTTCATAAAAATTGCCTTTAAAGGATTGAAAATCACCATTTTTTTTCACATCATCAAATCATCAAATAATCGTCGTCGTCGTTGTTCTTATTCGTTTTTTTTCTCCATTAGTTTGATAATCGTCGGATAGAAAAAAGGTTCGTTATTTTTTGTTTTGCTTCGGATAATTATTATTTTGTTTCTCTGTGTGTTAACACACACTTGCCAAATACGTGTTTTTTGATCGAGAGAAAGAGGTGAGGTCAAGTTCTCTCTTTTCTTTTGGTTTGTTTGTTTGTTTGTCAAAATCCTGTTCAAGTTTGGAACACACAGTACGGATATTGTTATTATTATTTGTGTGTGTGTGTGTGTGTGTATGTATAAAATAATCAGTAAATCCAAAAAAATAATATGGATATTACTTGTTGTCTTGTCGTTGTCACTTGTTGATTTGCAAAGCAATCAATTATTTTCATTTATCCATTAAAAAAATTAAGTAAGTAAGTTTGCCATAATTCAATAGTTATTTTTTTCTTTTAGATCCAGGTGGTTAAGTAATTAAACTGGTGTTGCAATTTACACCAGTTTTTTTAATTTACTTAACCACCTGGATTGTATTTGGTTGATCCTTTTCAAAAAAATGAACCCACTTTTCTAAGATAATGATGATAATCCATAATTAGAAAAAGGAATCAATCAATATCCTTAATCTTGAGAATAATATGCTTTGAGGGATAATGATGATCATAAGGGTACAAAAATCCGATTGATTGATTGATTGATTGATTGATTAAGATTATCGATTATCCGTTTTTTTAGTGGTTATATAATGACTTGTAATGTGATTTTACACATTATGGTTTGTATTTGTAATAAAAAAACATTAAATTTTTTATGTTTTTGATCACTTTTAAACATCGATTATTTGATTTTGATTTGAAAAAAAATTTTTGTAAACGATTTATGTAAGTTTTTACTTATTTTTTGAATGTTTGCCTTCAATTTCTCTGCTAGAAAGGAATTTGAAAAATTCCTAATTAAAAAAAAAGATCATTAACCTGTCTAATTAATTAAGGCCATTATTATTTGTTTTTTCGAAAATATTTTAACATATTAGAAGCACTTAGAAGAGAAAAACATTCCTTGTTTCATTTTATCGACAATCAAAAAACCAAAGGAAATGAATTTAGATCAATACTATAGTATTGCTGTTGTTGTTTTGTTGGAAAATTTTTTTTCCTCTAAGTGTTTTGTTTTATTGTTGTTTCGTATTTCTCATTGTTAATTAAATTAATTTGTTTGCTTGCTTGTTTTATTACCAAAAACAAAATATGTTGGGAGTTTTTTTCCATAAATTCGATATCAAAAATCAACTTGTATCGATATCGATTGATCGAGTGAGAGTGGGAGAGAGTCGGTGTTTTGCCATTTAAAAAAAAAATCCAACGGATGTTGGACCCATTTCATTTCATTTTCAAACGCTGATGATGATGATTTTTATTAATTTTTTTTTCTTATTTTTGGATGTTTTTAGATTTTAAAATTTGATCACCAAAAAGAAAACAAACAAACATGGAACATTTATTCAACATTGTTTTGGTAATTTTAACATTACAAATGCCAACAACAATACATACATTGATTGTTTGTGATAAATCAACAAATCCACCGAAAATTATATTATCATTGAATGAAATATCTACCGAAAATAATAATGATTTTGATTATCGTCTTTATACATCAACCAATTCAATTGAAACATTAATCAATCATAATAATACATTTGATTTGATACTTGAGTAAGTTTTAAATCCTGGTTTTTTATTGATAATTTTGCTAATCCATGTTTTTTACCCTTAAAGTCCACAATTATCAGGAAATGATACAAAACAATTATTAACAAGATTTTCATGTGAAGATGAAGAAACAAAAGATTATAATTGGAATTCAACTGAAAATAATTGTAATATTTTAGAATTATCCGAATATGATTATATATTTAAAGATGGTGAAAATTCTACAAAAATTATCACTATAAAAACATTGAAACAAGGAAAAACACAATTAGTAGCACATGCTAAATGGATATCGAATACATCTAATTTGACAGTAGAGTAAGTAATTTGAAAAAAATGATAATCAATTTCTTTTAATCTAATAAATCGATTTATTTAGCGCTTGGAAAGCCTATGTCACTGTAAATATTGGTGTTTCAGATACAATCCTGGTTATAAGTGCCATTATTGGTTGGATTTATTTTGTTGCTTGGTCAATATCTTTTTATCCACAAATATGGGATAATTATAAACGAAAAAGTGTTGTTGGATTGAATTTCGATTTTGTTGGCCTAAATATTACCGGTTTTATTTCCTATACAATGTTTAATTTTTCATTATATGCTATCGATTCTGTACAAAAAGAATATGAAAAAGTTAATCCTCGTAGTCAAATTCCGGTACAATTGAATGATGTTTTCTTTGGATTTCATGCTGCTTTTGCTACATTGATTTGCATCATTCAATGTTTTTTGTATGACGTAAGTGTTATTTATTTCAATTATTGATGCTAAATTTTAACATTATTTTTTTGATTATAGCGTGGTGAACAAACCGTTTCGTGGTTTGCTCGAATATTTTTAGGCATCGTTTGGATTGGTTATTTAGTATTAGCCATTATTGTGGCATCAACTAGTTGGCTGAATATGTTAGATTATCTGTATATATTTTCATATGTAAAATTAGTTATTACAATCATTAAATATATACCACAAGCATGGTATAATTATCGTCGTAAATCAACTATTGGTTGGAGTATTGGTAATATATTTCTTGATTTTACCGGTGGATCATTGAGTATGTGTCAAATGTTTTTATTGGCATATAATTATGGTAAGAAAATATTATCCTAAAAAAGTTAAATCATAATTTTAATCATAATTCTTATCCTGTGTGTTTATAGATGATTGGGCAACAATTTTTCATAATTTTACTAAATTTGGTCTTGGATTTATATCAATTTTATTCGATGTATTTTTCTTATTACAACATTATGTATTTTATCGTCATAGTGATGTACAAGATTCAAGATCTTTATTAGCCTGAAAAACAAAAAGTTTAACAACTTGTTATTTATTTAATTATTTATTTATTTCGAATGTAAATATTTTTTTTTTTCATTGTTTTAATTTGTTGTTTTTTTTCGTAATTTTTTTTTTTAAAAATCAAATCGATCAAATTAATAAATGTTTTTACCACCCCCCTTTCATGAAAATGATATTAATTAATTAACACGTTGGGATCAACAAATTTTTCGTGTTATTCAAAATCAACTTTGAAAAATCGAATAATTCGTTCGAATTTGTTCGAAATCAATGTCGAATTTCAATGGCAAAGAAAAACAAACGAAAAATCTAGTGTTGAAAATCAGTGTTCGAATACATTTTGTTTTTATCTTTCGAATTTTTATCTTTTCTAAACGAATTTTTTTTTCAAATAAAAAACAAACAGTTGAAGAAAAAACAAAAAAGAAAATGAAAGTCTATCGCTTTAAAGCTATACTACCATTTTCTTTCTGATTTTTCGTCCTCCGAACAATTTTTCTCAAAACTTTTTAAAAAGTTTGCAAAGATAACAATATTGAACTAGAATTTGCTACATTTGGTCATCATCAAACGAATGGCTTGATTGAAAGGGCTAAATAGAACAATGGAACAGATGCGAATACGAGCTTCCATTTCTGATCAAAGAATGCTTACGCGGCTGCTACCGAAAAAGTTTGGTCTTTGTTGGCTTTAAACAGAAATTTCAACTATGTGGAATATGTCAAAGATCAAAGGCTAATCGTTCAGAATGATCAGGTGACATTTTTCATATTTATAACGATAACGACAATTCTGGACTGTATTTTTGTCGCACTAAGAATCTTATGTCATCGTCTGATCGTGAAGAATCGGTTTAAAAAATGCAATTGGAAGGCATTTTGAAAGAATTTAAATTGTTTTCTTATGGATCTCTCAATATTTTTAAATGGCTAAAATGAATTTGGGAAACAACCTAACCATTGGAAATTCAATTCGCTGACTGGTTGTTGAATCTTGAAATTAACTTTCAAAACGCTGAAATTGGCCGGTTAAACAGGTGACGGATATCGTGATTGGTTCGGATCAAATCAAGATCAAACAATAAACAAAACAAAAACAAAAAAACAGAAATAATTGAAACATTTTAATTCAAATAAAATTGATAATGATGATGATGATGATTAATTTGAATTTGAATTTGATGCTAATTATTTAGCACATCGTACAATTTGATACAAAAACAAACTCTATATTTTATTGAACTTATAATTTCATATATTTATAATGTTCTGAATATAATTGAAGGCAAGTTATGCTCCTCGTCTATTCGCTATGTTCTCTAATTACAAACTCGAATAGCTAGTATCTTCCCCATTAATTATGTTCACTGAATTAATTGTGTTCATGGCAAATGTTGAATTCAGACAACGAAATTTCGCCACCATTATGCCAAACGCACATTCTACTACTCTACGGGCACGGCTAAGCCGGTAGTTAAAAACCTATTAAAATGTTTATCGTATTAAAGAATGATACAGCAGTGATTTTTATCAAATTTACCTCCCCGTTTAGAACATTCAATTTGATCACATTGGTGGCTTGACCGCTCGCAAAATGGCACCATCATTCACGTCTTCAAGCTTTGATTCAGTTCGAGTTTAACAATACGAGAGAGATAATAACAATTGAATTCACTCAAGAATAAAGACAGAATAAAGTTTAATTCATTTCGATGTTTGAACTTTATCTTTTCCAATGATTACTTTAAAAAAAAAACAACAAAAGCAGATTAAATTTTAGTTATAGTATACACATAAAGAACAATAGAAATGGATATCCTTATATACATTTTCGAAAAATTTTAATTCGAAAATTGGAATATTATTTAATTTCATCGTTTTTCTTCGACAGATAATCAAAATCACGAACAATAGAATCTATGTTCGGTTATTCGAACTATACTTAAACTGTTGTTGTTGTTGTTGAGTATTTTAGAATTTTGTTTTTCTAAATTCGGTTATGGACGTCAGTTTATGATACGTGTTTCGATGATATTTGTTTTGCTATTATGCTTTTGGAGATTCGGAAAAATCAACCAGACACACTACCAACATTATTCAATATTTCATCTTCATTATTCCTTTTTTCATATTTTAAAATGTCAGCTTTCTATTGTATTTTTTATTTGTTTTTTGAGAAAGCTGTTTGTAATATAACAACGATTTTTTAATAAACCAATTTAATATCGAATCTAAAAATTGTGTTTGTTTCTTTACACATTTATTAAAAAGTTACAATTCATAAAATCATTAAGCTATGGTTGGTTATTTTTTAATGAATTTTTTGAAAATTTTGTTTGTTTCATTAACAAGTTTTTAATTTATTAATTTTTTTTTAAAATTTGATTTTTTTTTTGACCATAGATAATATTGATGATATTTGATCTTTATCATTTTCGTGTGATGCCTTTCGGGTTATCACAACAGCCGCCGCACAAACATTTACCCGTCTTGGTAACATGCTGTTCGATCTATTGAAAATGGACATATTAGAAATCGTTGATGATCAAAGCTTTCAAGAAAATAAAGACATCGAAGATATTTTTTGCATAATATATTAGAATAATATATTCAGATAGTTTGAAGGGTTAACAAAAACTAAAATAATAATTTTATCCTCTCGGTACACATTGTCTAACGTTTTACAGATGGAAATAGAAGGATTTCATCATGCAAAAGTAAATTAAATTTTGTGTATTGATCCCGAATATCGAAATCCAGACAAAAACTGTATAAAACAATATTTGAAAGTGTCAAATGGAAGGATAATCGTAAAAAAACCTATTTTGGAAACTTATTTAATAGAATTTATATGGGAAAAAAACGATAAAAATTAAGAATAATTCTTTCAAATTTAATTTATTAAATTCAATAACGGAACATTTTCCACTGAAAAATCCTAATTGATTTAACATTCTTCTTGATTGTTTTTTTACGTTTTTTTTTCATTTAATAAAATTTGTGTTAATAAAAGTTATGTTTTGCTTAAAAAAAAATAAATGCTTAAAGAACCATCAATCGTATCAAGGTCTTTTAATATTCTTTATCATTTTAATCGAACGTTTTAAGTTTGTTTCCATTACACATTTAATAGAACATTAACTTTCCAGCATTCGAATCATAATGAAAAGAAATACAATAAATCATGGTTGTTGTTTAAATATAAAAAAAAGGAACGAAAAAATGAGAAAAACTATTTTTTGAAAGCAATGCTTGAAAAAATTTTCAAAAACGATAACCAGTCTCTCTTTGTCTTCCCGAAAATTCCAATTTGATCTTGGGAAGCTTAACGGAATTAGAACTAACTTTCGGGCTATTACCAAAAGCCAATCAGGATTTTTAATCTATAGACGTATAAAATTCAATCTTTTTCAATATTTTCTTAATTCCGATTATCTTCGACATCTATAAAATCAGACAAAAGCTTGCTATGTTCTTTAGCCAAAGTATTTATCGCGATTAAAAGCTGTGGACCATAACCTATATTTGAACAACATAAAATCGACTACAAAAGAACAATGTGATAAAACAAACAAACAAAAAATCGTTCGATTAAAATGATTTAATAAAAATTAACTTATTGGCATTCGAAATATAATGAATAAAATGCAGAAAATCAATGGTTATTTTAAATACATAAAAAAAAACGGAACAATAAAATAATATTCGAAATTCGAGAAAATTCATTCGAAACTGAATTTTCTCACAGAACCGCGGTTATATTTTTATTACGAACAACATTTCTCATATAAATGTACATACATACACGATAGAGACATGAACAGAGGTTTTTACAACTCTTGCTTTATTTAGTCAAACTAAATTAAATTATAATTATGTTATAACTGTCTTAGGTAGAGCACTGTAAGAACGATCGCACAAGCAAAATTATTACTCTCAGAAAAATAAGTCAATTTTATTAAACTTCAATCGAGCTTAAATACAATTCTGAAGTTCGATTACTGAACTTTCCAATATTCGAAATTAAATAATTCGAAAGCCAAGGCTGACCTCGAACACATTGTTATAACACTACATAATTGAATTACAACTTAATTCTAAAATACAACTCAACAACTACAGTTTGTTTGCTTAAAAAATTGTTCCCTTAATTTTAGCTTTGAAGCAAAACACACAACAAACAATGCACAATCATTTTTGTTTATAATCAAAACAAATCAATTCTTTTTATAATCTTTTATTATTTATTGAAATAATAATAATTCAAATTTAAAAATTTAAAAATTCGAGCATATAGCTCATTGTTGTTGATCAGGCAGACACAACCTTTTTTTTATAATTACTATTCGACATTATCGAACAGTTTCACGAAAACGTAGTATAGCCGGTACCGATGTACAAGGTAGAAAACCTTTTTCCGTTATAACAGCCGATATAAATTCTCTTGGTATAAGATCATAAAAAAGATCTAAAAAATTTAAATTTGTAACAATATTATTATCATTATTATTATAAATTTTGGCATTGTTTGATGAACAATCGAAAAAACTTTCCATTGAATTGGCGCCTAAAATGATTATTTAAAAAAATGATAATAAAAAGTGAAAAAGTTATCAATTTTATCAAAGTTATTATTTTTTTCAGCTTACCAAGTTCATTCTGTATAAAACAATCAGTATATGCTTGATCCGAATATTTATATGTTTCACAACAAACAATAACAGGAACATTATATGCTTTTGCAACCAATGCAATTTGTGATGAACCAACTGTTGACATAACATAACCATTACAAAGTACTGAATGTGCTTCTAATATTACTTTGTTTACCTGGAAAAACAATCAATAATTATCAATAATAATTATTATTCAAATATAATCAATCAATCAATATGGATACAAACATTTTTCATCACACACAGAATAGCATTAATCAGAACATAAGTAGTTTTAATACCATGTTTGGTAAGAAATTCAACCATTCGTCGGCCATCAAATCTTGGACTAGTATCAACAACAATAACATTAAATTGTACTTTT